AATACTAACTGTTGTAGTTTACCAGTAGATTTGCAAAGACTGGGGTCATCTCATCACTGTGCCCTAGACTGACTTTTCTCCTAGCATCCACAACAATTTTATAGGACTTATTTCTACATTCCTTTTTCCCCACAACTCTAAGTTTTTCTGAGGACAGAAACAAGTTTTTACTTATCATTGTCTTCTTATAATTATTTCACACAACTACTCCATAAATGATAGCAGCCATTTTTAAAGAATGTACTGTGTGCCAGGTACTTTATACATTCTATTTGTAATTCTCACAAAACTAGTATCTTCATTTTTCAGACATGGATTCTCAGGCTTCAGGAGATTCAGTGACTTGCCAAAGCTCACAGAGCTACTATAGAGTAGATGGGGCCAGAGTTCAAATCTGGATTTCTCTGACTCTCAAATCTCAAAAATCCTTATTTTTTCTACTCTGTCATTACCTCAATAAAATGCTTGCTGAATGAATAAACTAACCAAATAAACAAACCCAATTTTTTGTATAGGCATTTAAACAAAGGTGAGAATATGAAAAGCAACGGAGCAGCAAGGTACCATGTCCCCCAAATCCTTGAGATAGTAATTTTTTGAATGATAAATTTCTGTTTTGGATTAAACCTCATTAGTTTATACTGAATGTAATACACAAATCTGTTATTTCTAGTTATCCAAATAGATTTTAAGTGACTGATAATGACTGAAAAGTTGATACAAAAGACAAAATGGCTTTTTCTGCTGTAAGTTTTGGACAGTCATACATGTGGATTGAGAAATTATTATCCATCTTATGTCTCTGCATCATTTATATGCAATAATGTGTCAATTATTTATCAAACTGAAACTAAAAATGCAAAATTATGGAACCATTTTACTTAGCTTTGTATGGAGATTTGTGCAGCAAAGTAAGATATGTCACTCATGGACTCATAGCAACCATTTAAAAATTAATTATATAGGGGCGCCTGGGTGGCTCAGTGGGTTGAAGCCTCTGCCTTCAGCTCAGGTCATGATCTCATGGTCCTGGGATTGAGCTCCGCATTGGGCTCTCTGCTTGGCGGGGAGCCTGCTTCCCCCTCTCTCTCTCTGCCTGTCTCTCTGCCTACTTGTGATCTCTCTCTGTCAAATAATAAAATAAAAATTTTAAAAAAATTAATTATATAGTCCAAAGAATGGTATTTGAATTTTTAAATGGAATTAAAGCAACAGTTCTATTGCTTCAGCAATCTTTAAGATCAATTTCTAAAATAAGTCTGTTTGCTTCTTAGTGCTCTTATTAGGTGGCCCATTTTGTATAAAAATCTTCTCAATGTTTGGAATGTATTTGAAAATTACCACTTCAGTCTTTTAAACTGTCTACAACTTTTCTATTTGTCAAAAATCACATGTAAACATAGCTTCCTGGTATGTTAATCTTCTCAGGCTGTTATAACAAAATACTACAGACTTTTGAGGCAGAAATTTATTTTCTGGAGTGCCTGGGTGGCTCAGTCGGTTAAGTGTCTGACTCTTGATTGTAGCTTAGGTCAGGATTTCAGGGTTGTAAGACCAAGCCCCTCACTGGGCTTTGCACTGGTCATGGAACCTGCTGGAAATTCCCTCTCTCCCTCTCTTTTGCCTGACCCCACCTCCCACATGCATTGCACACTTTCTTTTTCTCTCTCTAAAAACAAAACAAAACGAAACAAAAAGAAAATAGAGTCTACCTCTTGGTTTGCCCCTCTCTCCCCACTGCCATGATTGTTTGTTTTGTTTCTTAAATTCCACATACGAATGAAATCATATGGTATTTGTCTCTCTGTAACTGACTGATTTTGATAGAAATCAAGATTCTGTATTTTGATCCATGCTTTATTAAGGGTATCACACTGTATGCTGCTCAGCCCTTTAGGGTTTCATGTGCTACCCTTTTCTACCTCTAATCACATATCTCCTTAGGTCTGTGTTCTCCAGTGCTTTCCAAGGTGACTGTGAACTAATCTGATCAACTAAGCCCAGGCTAATGTTCTCACCAGTGCTAATATATTGATGTCAGATGTTTTAACCCATGCCATAACTATTTACCCCAATGTCATATTGGACTCCTGGGGAAAACAGTTTTGCTTTTCCCTTATCATTAAAAAAGTGGCAGGAATTTCACATCAAATAGGTCTGACAGCACCATGTCAGATCATAGGAATTATTACTAGGTTTGTGGAGACCTCCATTACCTCTCAAATCATAAAGACAGCTCCAATGATTTCACCATAATTTCTTCTTTCTCTATCCCACTCCTTTATTTGAGAACTGGAGATTTTAGTAAGACTGACATATGGTCTTAGGTTCAACATCAGTGTAGAGGGAATTTTATACCTCATACTAGATCAGTTAGTTTCTTGAATTACTCTCCACTTTATTTATTTATATATGTCTTCTCCTCCAAGGAGTAGCTAAGCTTCTTGTAGGCAGGAATCATGCATTACAACACTTCCAAGTGACATTATAACATAATTATTAACAAACACATAAACACTTGGGTTCAAATCTAGCTCTGTCAGTTATTGCTATGTGACCTTGAGGAAATCATAAAACTCTGTGCTTTAGTTTTCTTATTTGTAAAATTGGAGTAATAATAGTGTCTACTTCAAAAGACTGTGAGAATTAAATGGTATGAAATGTATTATGTAAAATGTATAGTATTTAGTTGTAGGAACTTAATAAATGTTGAGCAAAATTGATAACTATTAAAAATTTAAAATACTCAAATAAAACATTTAAAATTAATATTAGATGTCAAATTAATATAAATTTTATTTATGAGTCCATGCATATATGCACTGCTTATGCCTAATTATCTCTTCCATGGAAAGAATATCTCTGTGTGTATGTATGGGTGTGTGTACACAGTCATGCATATATTGTACTTTATCTCAAAATTGTTTTATATTCTCCTATCTTATTACTGACTGAGACCCTTTATTATAATATTTTGATTTGCTTCTGATAAGGTCTGTTTGCCACAAGGCATTTAAGAATGGGGAGATTTATTACTAAAGGTGAAATTAATTTAGAGTAATGAAATACACACTAATAAAATGTACATGAAATTGCTTGAAAACAATAGTAAGAATATTTTCTGAAAATATGTGCATAAGTGGGAAATGGCAGGTGGTGATTTAAATTTGTTTTCCCATTTGGTATTTATGTCATTATGGTTTATATGTATTTTCTGAATTTTATATTGTTTAATGGAGAAGGACTTTGTGGAGACAGAACATTCAGGATTTTTGTTGCCACCTTTAGTTGTTAATTTTGGGGTAAGTCAATTTTTACATTTTTTTCATCATCATGAGAGTTTTCTTTAAAAATAACCCCCCAGAATTATGAATGGATTATGGGAAACAACATCCTCAGAATAGCTGTAACAAATTGATGCGGAGCAAATGGTTGACATTAAGCAAATGTTAGTTTTCTTTCCTTTACATATAAAACACACCCCTTAATACTGTTGAAAACACCCCTTTATTACATTTACCCTCCCTAGTATCTAAAGTCCATAACAACTGGAATAGAACTGTGATAGAAACTTTGATATAAGTTACTACAGAGCATATATAATATTTTCTTGGCTGCTACACTTCTCGAGTAGTTTTGTTTTTTCTCCACAAATGAGACTGAACAGGTAGAAGATGTTAGGAGCCTTTTAAATGATTTGTATGTCAGGAATGCATAACAAATGGCAGTCTTCTATTTGCCTACCATTATTATCAGTTACAAATATTCTGGGAAAATGTAAGCTTCCGAAGTATAACTGAATTCTTGCTCCTAGTAACAGAAAAAGACATTAACCTATTCAGGTTTACTCTTACTACATACAGACATTTTCTTAATTGTTTTTGAAGCAAATAGAAATGTTAGAATTTTGCTGGAAATTCAGAGCAGATATCTTGTTTTGAATATCTCTGTATCTTATAAATACATTTATTTTAGTAACTATTGTTATAATTTCACTATAGATACTTTATAATTGGTTCATATATATTTTGGCAACTTGTGTAATGTCAAATGCAGTTTCTACATAGAATATTTAGGCAAAATATTTGACATGAGGAGTTAGGTGATCTCTCAAATTTTTTTCTAGATTATTGTTTGGTAATTCTAAGTAGCATGTATAATGGCCAAAAATACATATAATTTAAAATGGATGCTATAGTTAAAGCTATTTTTGCAGTTAATAAAAATATTTCATGCCAAAATAGTGGGAGCATTTTACTTCACTCATTTTCATGATACAAACTGTAAAGCTTATTAGTAATCATAATCACCTGTACAGTGAGGCAAAATAGAAGAAATATAAAATCAATCAAAAGAAAATTTTCATTTAATTTTTAAATATCAACAAACTCCCTGTACTTCTCTTTTAAAAACATTATTTCTGTGCCATTAAATTTTTGAAGTAACTTGAAACACACATTATTATCCCTACTTTCAAGCTTAGAAAAAGAAAAAACCCAAAAAACCCAAAATGTATTATTAAATTAAAAAAACAACAACACATCAAGAACACACAATTGGTTAAGTGCCTGGTTCCAAATCTGAGACTGCTTTAGCACTGAATGTAATACTCCTTTCACAGCTTTGGCATCAAATCTTCAAATACAAAGTGCAAGGAATCATCCTTTCTTTCCTTCAATTCTCTCTTCACTCAAAGGGAAGAAGGAAGAATTTTAAATTCCACAATTAATTCCCTTTCCCCTGTTTTATTTTAATTGTCTAGAATATCAGACTCAAAATTATGGTTATACTCTGAATTTACATTAGTGAAGATGACTAGTGCAAATCTCTAAGAGGGAAATATACCCAGAATTTGTCTTTATAGTTAGGTAAGTCATTACTTAATGTTACTTTGAAATACTTCAAAAGAACACACCATATACATGCTCAGTGAAATCATTATTCTTTCCCTTAAGGTAAAAGTTTAAAAATTATATCAAGAAGACTACCTGCAGACTCACAGTTTGGTTCTCTGTGCCTGGTATCCTTGATTATGTTCAGTGGATGAGAATCCTGTTTACTGAACTCCACTTGAACTTGGATAGGTGTAAGCTCAGATTTAAGATCCTTGAATATTGACCCTTGCAGAAATAGCTCTGAACAAGTAATAGGATTGACATAAGAGAATTACAAATCCTGTTCATTAATAGTAAGGCAAAGACAAACTACAACAATGAAAAACTTCAAGTCCTGAGGTAAATACAATCTTTATCCACCTATTTTATGTTATTTGAGAAAAAAAAAACCTATATTATCTCTTTGCAGCATGGACTCAATATCTGTTCTCAGAAATTCACTTGCCATTTTCTGAAAGAAAAAAAATTAGTTTTTCTGATCAAGAAATTTTCGTGATGTATTAGTAGGAACTATCCTTCTCAACCATTGCATTTGTCATGGTCCATTTTCCTCTTAAATTCACTAAACTATTTTCTTCTAAATTTTGGTGCACTGAAATGCTTTGTGGATTAAAATCTCTGCTATTCTTTCTTTATTTTGTTTCTTTTGGCAAAAAAACAAAATAAAACAAAACAAACAGGAAAAAAAAAAAAACTTTTGCTACAGGTTTTTAATAAAATACCAGGCTGGCTAAGTCATTTCTGGGTCCATTTGCTTCCTGCATTTTGAAGTTTGATTTGTGGTTTTTTTCTTTTCATTTTCCCGGTTGTTACTGGTTTTTACCATTACAAATCCTTTCCTGCTGTTTTTAATGGAATATAAGGATGTGGGGAAAATAGATAGACATGTTCAATTTGCCTTTTCCTAACACCTTTCATTGTAATGGCCTAATTTCTCATCCAACATTGACAAAGTAGGGAATTTAACTTATTTCAAGCTTAACGCTGGAAATTTATAATTAGCAAGAGGACAAATATAGAAGAGGCAATTAAAATGAAAACAACTAAATTCATTAATTACAAGGTTTAATCATATATAGCTTTACCTAAAATTTTTAAATAGATCTTTGTGCAATTTTAATAGTGATAGTGTCTAAACACACTTTAATATTTATATCTTATTATTCTAAATGAATTTAGCATTTATGTGCTTTTTGTTAACAGGAGGAAAATAACACACTTTGGAACTTTGTTAATTTGTGTATTTCATGTATGCTATATATTGGCCTCCATATATAGATTTTCAATAGAGTTTTTCAGGGCAGTTCACATTCAGTTGTATGAACTGAGTGTTTTCTCTCTAGCTAAGGAATCTAGTATAATATATGCTACACCAATGTATATTTAAAAGATGCCTTCTGATGGAAAGTATACAGAAATTTTGTTTCAGTTTGATAAAAATGTCATAATTAATGGGTCTTACATTCAGGGTAGATGTTTAAGTTTCTGTCTAACTAGGAACACTTACAGTCAAATATGTAACATTTGCACACTTATAGAGGCATATGGTAAAAAAAAAAATCACTATAGTAATACCTATTTTCACCTTCCAAACACATATATTTCCTTACTCAGGTTTCTACTTTGTGCTAATTCTGGCACTAGCTTACTGGAGGGATTTTGGAAGCATAATGGACATCACACATTTGCCTCCAATTTTGACAGAAATTCAGTTCACGTGCAACAATTATAGATCATGAAAACTTGTCAAAAGAGTCAATGATTGGGGCACCTGGGTGGCTCAGATGGTTAAGTGTCCAACTCTTGGTTACAGCTCATGTCATAATCTCAGGGTCATGAGATTGATCCCCACATTCAGCTCCCCATTGGCTTCCCACAGGTGTCATTATTGGTCTCCACATCAAGCCCCACATCAGGCTCCACGCTCAGCTTAAGACTTTCTCTTCCTCTCCCTTTGCCTCTCCCCCTGTTCTCTCTCTCAAATAAATAATATAAATCTTAAAAAAAAAAACCAAACTCATAAGGTTCATTATTTCACATATATGATTCCTGATTTATGTAGAAATATTTAAAAGTAGTAGAATTATATGAGATTTTACCCATTTTTAAGGATACTGAAATAATGTCACTGTACAAAGGAAAACCATTATACATTAGCTGAAAATGTCTTACAAAACAGGGAAAATATTAATAATTAGCATATTCTCTGAGTATTCACCTTGCCATGGTAGGTATTAAACATTTATTTCATTTAATTGTCACAACAGTCTTCTGAGGTAGACCAAGTATAATTTTACAAATGAGAAAACAGGCCTAAGTAGGTTTTGTAACTTATTTAATTTCATGAATTTATAACAAGTATTTGTGAAATGCCTAATATTTGATAAACACTCTTCTGTGGACAAGGTATGCAGTAGTAAAGAAAATAAAATTTTTGTATTCAAAACGTCGACAGTATGTCTGTGAAAATCCAGGTTTGGAATTCAGGTATGATTTAATTCCAGGGCTCACACTATTAACCAATAAACTCTCTTGCTTAGGGCAGATTAAACATCCTTTAAAAAGAGGAAAAGATAGAATCCTCTTTAAATCCTAAACAGTCTCCACTGAAGGTTTTCTGGTGCCAGAACTGTCATACATATCTACCTTTGGGTTTTTTGAGGATGAGTTTTATTGAAAAAATTTAAAAAGCTAACACCATACTCAATGGGGAAAAATTGAGAGCTTTTTCCCTAAGGTCAGGAATAAGGCAAGGATTTCCATTCTCACCACTTCCTTCAATGTAATACTGGAAATTCTAGCCACAGCAATCAAATGACAAAAAGAAATAAAAGGCATCCAAATTGGTTAGGAAAAAGTAAAACTTTCTCTATTTGCAGATGACATGACACTATATATTTAAAACCCTAGAGTCTCTACCAAAAAGCTGGTAGAACTGATAAATGAATTGAGTAAGATTGCAGAAGTCAAAAATCAATGTACAGGGATGCCTGGGTGGCTCAGTTGGTTAAGCAGCTGCCTTCGGCTCAGGTCATGATCCCAGTGTCCTGGGATCGAGTCCCACATCGGGCTCCTTGCTCATCAGGGAGCCTGCTTCTCCCTCTGCCTCTGCCTGCCATTCTGTCTGCCTGTGCTTGCTCTCTCTCCCTCTCTCTCTCGCTGACAAATAAATAAATAAAATCTTTAAAAAAAAATCAATGTACAGAAATCTGTTTCATTTCTATAAACTAGTAATGAGGCAACAGAAAGAGAAGTTAAGAAAACAATCCCATTTACAATTACAATGAAAACCATAAGATACCCAGGAATAAACCTAACCAAAGAGGTAAAGATCTGTACTCTGAAAACTATAAAACATTGATGAAAGAAACTGAAGATCACACACACACACACACACACACACACACAAAAAAAATGGAAAAAAATTTCCATGATCATGGATTGGAAAAATAAATAGTTAAAATGTCCACACTACCCAAAGTAATCTACACATTTAATGCAATTCCTATCAAAATAACAACAGCATTTTTCACAGAACTAGAACAATTATAAAATTTATATGGAACCAGAAAGACCCTGAATAGCCAAAGAAACCTTGAAAAAGAGAAACAAAGCTGGAAATATCACAATTCTAGACTTCAAGATACTACAAAGCTGTAATCAAAACAGTGCACAACTGGCACAAAAATAGACACATAAATCAATGAAACAGAATAGAAAGGCCAGAAATAACCCCCCAATTATATGGTCAATTAATCTTTGACAAAGGAGGAAAGAATATGCAATGGAAGAAAGATTCTTCAACAAATGGTGTTGGGAAAACTAGACAGCTACCTGCAAAAGAATGAAACTGGACCACATTCTTATACCATATATGAAAATAAGTCAAAGTGGATTAAGGATCTAAATGTGAGACTTGAAACCATAAAAACCCTAGAAGGGAGCACAGGCAATAATTTCTCTGACATTGGTCATAGCAACTCCTTTCTAGATATGTCTCCAGAGGCAAAGGAAGTAAAAGAAAAAATAAACTATTAGGGCTATATCAAAATAAAAAGCTTTTGCACAGCAAAAGAAACAACCAACAAAACTAAAAGACAGCCTACTGAATGGAAGGAGATATTTGCAAATGACATACCTGATAAAGGTTTGGTATCCAAAATATATAAAGAACTTATACAACTCATCACCAAAACAAAAACAAAAACAAAAAAACAACCCACAAATAATCCCATTAAAGAATGGCAAAAGACATGAACAGACATTTCTCCAATGAGAACATGTACATGGCCAACAAACACTTCAAAAGATCCTCAACATCACTCATCATCAGGGAAATTCAAATCAAAACTACAGTGAGATATCACCTCACACCTGTCAGGATGAATAAAATCAAAAACTTAAAAAACAGCAAGTGTTGGTGAGGATGTGGAAAAAAAAGAAACCCTCTTGCACTGTTGGTGGGAGTACAAATTGGTGTAACCAATGTAAAAAACAGTATGGAGTTTCCACAAGAAATTAAAAATAGAACTACTCTACAATCCAGTAATTGCACCACTGGGTATTTGCCCAAAAGATAAGAAAACACTAATTTGAAGGGGTACATGCACCGCTATGTTTATTGCAACATTATTTAAAATAGCCAAACTGAGGGGCCTGGGAGGCTCAGTGGGTTAAAGCCTCTGCTTTTGGCTCAGGTCATGATCCCAGGGTCCTGGGATTGAGCCCCGCATTGGGCTCTCTGCTCAGCATGGAGTCTGCTTCCTCCTCTCTCTGCCTGCCTCTCTGCCTACCTGTTATCTCTGTCTGTCAAATGAATAAATAAATAATCTGAAAATAAATAAATAAAATAGCCAAACTTTGGAACTATGGAAACAGCCCAAGTATCCATTAATAGAGGAAAGGATAAAGAAGGTTATAAAAAAGAATGAAATGTTGCCATTTGCAACATTTAATATGGATGGATCTAGGTGGTATAATGCTAAACAAAATAAACCAGAGAGAGACAAATATCATATGATTTCACTAATATGTGCCATTTAAGAAACAAAACAAATGAACAAAGGAAAAGAAATAGAGAAACAAAAAAACAAAACAAAACAAAAAAGACTTTTAACTATAGAGAACAAACTGATGGGTTACCAGAGGGGTGGGAGGATGGGG